GTGCGCAATGATCGCGACATCTTTCTCATTCTGCTCCTCGTCCATACAGAAATGCAACTCACCACAAGCTTTCGCTAAACATGAGGCTATCTCACCACCGTTTCATTACCCGTCTCTGGATCTCCAGCATCTCAAAGCCTCTACGACGGGCTTCCTACTCTGGGACCTCCGAAGTCGCTGATGGTCATCATCCGTACTTCTGCAAAGGTACCTCATCCTCATTATCTCCTCGCCGAACTAATCCTATCTCTGCTCGGAAAACGATTTCGCAGCAAGCAAGCCAGCAAAGTCCCACCAAGATCGGTAGAAAGGGTTGGATATCGCAGCGAGGGATGACAAGGTAGGCAATTGTTCGTCTGTCTTTGTCCCTGCTATTACTTCAAAGACGTACATAACACGCGATACTTGTTACCATTTGCTTCCCCCATCACGACTTCTCCTCACCCACGCGGAAATGGCCTACAAGCACCTCGTATAGGCATCTCCATTGGATCTAAGATTACCCGTCAGCCATCGGGACATTTGCCGATATCTCCACACCCTCAACCGCTCATAGTCGGAGATATCTCAGCTCCTCCATGTGTACATCCCCAAATATGTACTTGAGCATCTGAAACGAGCAGAGCATTAAAAATGAGAGCAAAGTTACTCGTTACACCTGTCTCTAGTCTTAATTGACCCGCTCTCCTAGCACGACCATGACTACCCCTCCGCGTGTCCTCGTCTTTGGCACTGGCAGCGTCGGCACCGTCTACGCCTGGATTCTCTCCCGCGCCGTCGGCGACGGAAACTTGTACACGGTATGCCGATCGAACTATGCTGTTGCCTCCACGGCGGGCTTTACCATCAACTCGACAATCTTTGGGGATGGCCTCAAATTCAAACCCCAAGTGGTGCGGACCGTGGATGAGGCTGTCTCGCTCTCGGGGGGCAAACCATTCGACTACGTCGTTGTCACGGCCAAGGCCATCCAGACAACGCCATCAATGCCAGAGCAACTCCGCCCGGCAATCTCCCCTCGCACGACTATCGCAGTCATACAAAACGGCATCGCCGTCGAAAAACCATATCAAGCGCTCTATCCAGACAACCCTCTGCTAAGCTGCGTGGTATACCTCCCCGCCACGCAAATTGCCCCCGCTGTGGTCACCCACCGTGAGATCGCGCTGCTGCACATTGGCACATATCCCTCCAACGCATCTCCCGAGCACAAAGCCAGGGCAGAATCGTTCTCCCGCCTCCTCAACGCAGGGGGGGGCCGCACGCAGGTGCACGAAGACGTGCAAACGGAGCGCTGGAGCAAGCTGGCCGTCAACGCGAGCTGGAACCCCGTGTGCGCGCTCTCCCGTTCCCGCGACGCCCAATTCCTCGCGTCCTCCCCACCAGAGTACGCGTTGAACCTGATCAAGTCGCTCATGACCGAGATAGCCTCTGTCGCACAGGCGTGGGGCTACGACAACATCGACGCCAAGACTGTAGAATTCCAGATCGACCGCGCCAAGGCCAGGGAACTGCCCGGGGTAGAGCCCTCGATGCTCGCGGACGCAAAAGTCGGCGCGAGGATGGAGGTCGAGGCCATCGTGGGCAACGCGGTCCGACTGGCTGAGGAAAAAGGCGTGCGGACGCCGTTGCTTAGGGGAATCTACGCTCTCATAAAGGCGTTGGATGCCACTTTCCAAAGAGACTCAGAGAAGAAGGTGTCTGCTCAGTGACAACAGGGAACAATCAGAGGAGCAAGTCCACGCTTTGAGGTTGTCTTTTTTCGGCAAAGATTTGTGAGGGTGTTTATTTTTGACAACATTTCCTTGTTCCTGGATATATAAATAACATTGTCTGATAGAGACTTTACAGCGTAGAAATTAGAAGAACTTGACACACAAACATGCGCTTGCGCACTTTCCGACTTCGTTCTATGATCGGAGGACTTGAACCGGGCATGATAGATAGTAGGTTCTATTGGAGAAAAGATTCCGCACGTAGACCAGAGATGATCTCAGCCACTAGTAAGCGTGTTCTACAGTCAACAGGAAACATATCGAGCCTCTGACGAAGGAGCATTGAAGTTCGAGGTGCTCGCTCGGTCAGTTTCGTCAATGGTCCCTGTCCCTACAGGGTCCCACGACCTTGGGTCCCACGCATCTTTGATCTTTATTATCAGGATACTGTACATCATGGCGCTCATATCTCGATGCCCACCCCCTGGAGCGCCTCGACGGCCCATCCCGGGGGAGGCTGGCCATTGAAATAATTTGCAAAGAATTGCTTGCAGAATGAGGGGTATTGGTCATCTATTATGGCCGTGCGGATTCGTCGCATCAGGGAAAGCAAGTGATGTACGTTGTGCATCGTCAGTCTGTGGATGTCTCGCGTCAATCAGGAGGTCTAATCAAGGAACTGAGAGGAACCAAGAGACACGGCTAGATGGTAGACAAAGAGATCGACGACTTACAAGTGAGCCCCCACAGTCTCCTTCGCAGCGAGGTGGTAGATGTACGCCCTCGTGATGGCCAACCCTCCATCCTCTTTGGGACGACAGCAGGTGCAGGTACAGCCTTGCTCGACAGGTCCGAAGTCATGAGCATACCGAGAATTTTTGAGGTTCAGGACGCCGTTGGAGGTGATCGCGTTGCCAAAACGCTGCAAGATACACAGATTCATTCCTCGGTCAGAATGATGACATTGAGGGTCGAAGTGGAATCAAGGCATGTAAACTCACTGCCGTTCGTGTGGGCCACACACAATCAAACATATCTGCTCCGAGAGCTACGGCGACAACGATATCTTCTGGATACCCCTGCGCTATAGGTAAGTGTCTGTCCACTTCCAGCAGCAAGAAAGATGATCGTACAATGCCCATGACGTATCTTGGCTTATGGTCAGGTAGGAGGCTGGTGCAAGTATCGACGCTTTCCAGAGAGTCAGCGTCCAGGCATCTCCAGACAGAAATGAGTAAGGGAGGTGCTTCTGTACACTTTGCAGAAATCTGACTTGGCTTCTCCGCCAGACAAACCACCGATAGCTATGCCTGGGGTATCCCGCTTGACCATTTCCTCGCAGCACTGTCGCCTCATCTCTAGATCGAGACCGCCTTGAATGATGCAAAATAGATTCTGTGTCTCAGGGTTCTTGTGTGCAACTATGCATCTGTCGAGCCAGCGGATAGAGCGTTCCATGGCCTCCTTCATTCGGGCATGATCAGGCGATGTCGTCTGAATGACATCGTCAAGCTGCATCATGATATCTGAGCCGATGGAATTCTGAAGAGACATCGAATGCTCAGGAGTGAGGAGCCTATGGATGACATGGGTAAGTCTCTGAAGGGGACCATTTGCTGCATCTGGGCCGTCACATACATTGGACTGCCATCATGGGGGCTGAGAAAGCGCACGCCTTCCTCGGTGATCTTTGCCAGCTTGAGCAAGGAAACCATTTGAAAACTTGAGGCATCTCGAATCAGTCACTTATCCTTGGGCAGAGAGGGTGCTGTGCACCACCAACCCGCCACTGTCCGTCAGGATATTGTAATTCCATCCTTGTAATCTATGGGCACCGCCAATCGTGTCAAGCACCGCTTGGCCAGGTTTCAATCCCAAGTGGTATGTATTGTTCAGACATAATCTGCAACCAGTCTCTTCCAATTGTTCCGGAGTCAATCCTTTCAGAGATGCTTGGGTGGCGACGGGCATAAAAATGGGCAGGTCGACTGGACCATGAGGCAAATGCAGCGTCGAGGCACGGGCTTTGGATGTCTAAAAAGATGGCGGAGGAAATTTGTCAACGGCGGGGATCGATCTTGCAGCAGGGGGGGTAGATGGGTCGTCATGACTGCGTACCGAACACCAGGCCTTGCGATCAAAGGTCAGCGCTGAGGGTTTTGTAGCGGTCGACATGGCGGCGACTGGTCCGAATGCATAGGGACTGGCGGTAATTGCCTGCTTTGCGGCGGTGAGGATGTCAAGACGCGGTTTGGTTACTTGACGGGTCCAGTGCATACGAAATCCGGCGATGGGAAATGCACTTGTCCGCAGATCCAGGTGGCACGGGGATGTATCTCTACACGTCAACTTGGCTTGCCGGGTACTTGACAGATCACTGGTGCAAAGTACGACAAAGGAATCTCGGTTTATTGCGATGGAGATGGCGAGGTGGAAACTGAATTTTGGGATGTGACGAGTTGTGGCCCGGAACTTTTTTCTCGGCCACGCCTCGTCCCTTTCCTCCCATCCTTTCCATCCCTCCATCCCTCCTTTTACCACCCCCTCTAAGGCAACAGCTGTCGTCCCTTGATTCGACATCCAGAACGTCGGGTCATGCGAGGGACGTGGCTCGAGAGTCTCCAAATCGCTCATTGACAGTAACACGACAGGTCATGGTACACAAACATTTTGCCCCCATGCTGCAAGCCTAGATCTTCCAAGCTCCACCCGCCACAACACGAGGCATAGGGTGATAAGGTGGTTAGAGAAGAAGAAAAAATTCCCCATGTCATGTGCGCTGATCGGACACCTGCGCGGGATGAGGTGCAGGCAGAATCAAAACATAAGCATGCGATATCATAGATTCATGCATTTTCTTCTATCAACCCTGAAGAGCGGTCAAGAAAATTCGGGCGAGGACTGAGACCTCTCCCTTTTGTCGACAGTTTGAAGCCTGAACAAGAGGACAGACTGGTTCTGATCTCTCTTGGAATCTGGGGGGTTTTGTTTTTCTCTCCTTTTCTCTTGATGAGAAACAAGCGGCAGATGTGAAGAAAGGAAAACGATAATCCAATCCCAAAGAAAAAGAAAGGCCCTCTCCTAAAAACCCCCTGCTGTCCTGTGTCTGTGTATCACCATAACGCCTTCGCTATGCTCTCATTCGAAACCCTTGTTTTGCCCCATAGGACACAGCAGGTATTGAGACAACTTCCCCACCGGAAATGCGACTTCGTATCCTGCCCGCAGCTTTGGATCTGATCGCAAACCCTTTATTGCTCTCAAATGCACATCGCGACACTAGACTCAGCGAGCCCAGGGCCCACCATAGCCCGACTGTGCTCGGTAGACCGTGGACTGACCAGCGGTGATCGACGGGTTGCGCAGTTTGGTGCAGGCGACTTCTGCAGCGTCTTCTTTGGCGTTGTTGAGGTATTGCCCATCATACCAATATCTTGCTGCAAGATTCTGGCCCTGAATTGTGACTGTCGCAGACCAAGCTGTACGGCCACCTAAAAAGCCAAGCAGAAGAAATCAGCGTCCGGGCGATATCGAGAGAATTTTCTGGTAGAATGACCGAAAGAGGACCTTTCAGTACACGAACTCACCTCGACGATCAGAAACAATATTGAACTGGGGAGCAGGCAGTCTCAGCTTCCGGCACTCAGCTATCAGCAAGGTCAGCCAAAGACGCAGTGGGCGTAGCGGTGTGAGTGTTACCAGCAAGCTCTTCCTGCCAGGTCTTGTGGGTTTTGGTAGCCATGTTAGATTTCAAACGTGGACAGGTCTTTGGCTAGATGGCGAGAGCTCTTGATCGAATTACTTGATGTCTTCGTCGAGTATATTTGATCGTGTTGACAAGTAAAGGGCCGAAGTAAGATGATGACCACAATCACCCGGCGTGACGAAGAGAATGGACTTTATATTCAAAGAAATCCCAAGGGCAGCTCGAATGCTCAGCTAGGGACGCAAAACAAAGTGACTGAGCGAGTGCCAAAATCAAGGAAGGCGAGCTGCAGGTGCTCCAGTATTTCCTTTCCACGACAGAGTCCTTTGTCTATCAAGGCCGCTTCATTTCAAGGTAGGGCAGCATTGAAAACAACTGAACATCGAGGAGATAGGTTGACTTTGTGCGACATGATCTGAGATCTCGTGACACTTGGAGCATCGATTGACCAGCGGCCCTGGCATCATCTATGAAAGGTTTCGTGGTACAAAGGAGCGAGACTGCAGAGGACGTGAGATGTCAAACGTGGGTAGAGGATGGGATGGAAGAGCGCAAAGCAAAAAACAGAGCCACCAGCCTCACCAGAGAGATGCTGCCAACACATCAGGTATCCGGCAGCGTACAGTAGTGGGACCAAAGGTCCGGCCCCAAGCGCAAGCGATGATATGCATGATGGCGTAGAAAAAAGAGAACTCTGTGACAATCAAAGGAATTGGGGGAAAGGGCCCACGAAAGGCTAGAAGGAAACCATTTAATGGCGGATGGCAATATCCAAGTGGGGGCGGCACCGCTGGTGCCGACCGATCGAATGCAAGATAGCGGCGAAAAAAAAATAGCACAAACTGTTTCCATCGGTGATATGTCCACATCAATCCGACTCGATGGTCGTGGAGATTTTGGAAGCAGTCAGGGAGCTTCCGAACAAGGATTGTAATCTTCCCTTTTCTCTTGCTGCATTCAGAGTACGTCAAAAATCAGGGCTGGTTTCCCTATTGGTCGCCTTCGATGCTTTCGGGAATAATTTTGCATTTGGGCAGCAATCTGAGCTGGACGGGGGGGTGTGTGTGTCAGAGCACGCATGAGATCGATCCACGTCTCGCATTGAACCGAACTGCCGCCCGAGAATGACGAGTGCCTGCTCTGTGAGATTGGGTATAGTGGCGTAGGATGAAGGTCTATGGGGACATTTCCTAGAGGACAAGCCAGACAGAAGGCGAGAGGCGAGGATGCGGGTAACGATTTGATAATGAGGATTAATTAGTCGGTAGGAGAGTAACACGATCCCTAGTAACAACCCCGGAGTACAAGGAACCTGATTCTGAAGTATCCAGTCGTTTCGGGCCAAAGCAAAGACCGGGGGGGTAACGCATGAGGGCCAAAAAAAGTCTGAAGAAAAGGGAGGCGAGATCCCTGCCTCTGAGACCTGTAACTGACAAGGGAACATTGGGGAAGCTTAGGCAGACAGTAAGCAGTGGTGTTCAATAGAAAGTAACGCGGCATTGAGCCGTCAAAGCGTGGCAAGAGTTTTGAGAGCTGTGCAGCAGTAGCATCTTGTCTAGGATGATGGAGGCATAATGGTTGGAGCTGATGCAGAAGAGGAACAAAAAACAGAGTGGGCGCAAATGAGGACAACGGACGTGGAAGGCCATTTGGTCAGCAGGGGTAGAGGAGCCAATCACAGCAGCGAGTGACGAAAGCCAAGACACTAATTCCCAATACAGCTTAGACTGGTCTTATACAAGTTTGTCCAGGCCGAATACTCCATACGAGGAAGTACATACAACTGCCTAAATACCTAGTACCATACCCAGATACCAAGTCAGTTACCAGTAAATGACTTGTCATGTCTCAATAAAAGTAACTACGCTTTTTATTTGTACAGCTTCGTCCCACGAAAGCGTGGACAACTATACCATGGCATCGGTTTAGCTATACCTTTCCAATGGCTATTCATCTTGTGGAACACGAGTCATGCAGAATGGAGCCGTCCATTCAGGCTATGTCGTGTCCTGTACCTCCTGATTTCCGTCGTCCAAGCGTTGTTCCCAGCGCTGACCTGCCCGCATTTGTCCAGACATGACTGCCTTGATCAACCCTCGGCCACAACTTGGCCCAATGCAAATTCTGTACAAGAAATGTGATGGATTCGACAATGACAACGTCTCGACAGTCCATCGTCCACGTCCTTTCCATTTCGTCGTCGCGATGTATTCTACACCGCCAGTAGCTCTGTGTAACACCGCCGCAAGGGGAAATCCAGTCCCGTGTTTGTGTTCGGACCGAACAATAAGGTCGAGATGAGAGGAGGAGAACAAGTCAATAAAGTGCCGTCCGGGACTGGTCAAACATTCCTGGATCAAGAGCGGTGTGGCTCGTCCCAGTGTCTCCTGATGCAGTCATCCACCAGAGACATGAGTCCGGTTGCCATAATCACGTCTCCCAAGTCATTTGAGATGTCCTTCTCCGTCAGCCGCAAGCTGCACGGTGGAATCCAACCACCCAGCGCCGCTTCTTGCCGGCTCTGTCTTTGTGACAGCTTGTCCGGAGTGATATGAGCAATGCAAACCCCCGAAGACGACTTGATCAGCTCAAAGGAGAATACCAATTCGGACTCATCCCGATAGATATTCCGCCTCCAAGAATACCGCTCACCCCAATACTCAAACTCATACTTGCTGTCTCCTGTCTTACTCCGCTCTAGGTCGACCTGAGCGTAATTCGAAAACTCGAGTCTGATAGTGTCTGTGGGAATAGTGGCCTTGACGTCGACTTGTGCGGCAAAAGAACTGAAATCATCGTCCGACTCCTCGTCTCGGATCTCTTGAACCGGCTTCGGCCGAGGTTTGCTCTTCAGTGTTCTGAGGTTGATCTTGGCGAGGGTCGAAGTAAATGAGCGCCGCCGAGTTGAGGATGACGGAGATGATGACTTCTGGGCGACCGGTTTCAGATACTTCCGCTTCGAGTTGCAGACTTCTCGACCCGACTGCCGCTGATATCGACGAAGTGAGAACTGGCGTTCGGCAAGATCGTACATGCGAAGATGGAACAGAGTCAACTTCAGCTTGTGTCCTCTGGAGATGGCCAACTCAGTATCAATGCGGAGATTCAGATTTCCATCGGGGGTGGTGTCGTCGTGTTGAATGAGGATTCTTCTCGTGGAAGGAAACAACTCTCCGAATTCAACGGGCGTGGTTGGGATCGCATCAGGCTTGTAGCATATATGTCTCATCAAGGGATATAAGCTTGGAGGTCTCGATGAATCATTGTCATCATCGTCAGATACGATTGTGGATGTATATGTCTCGGTTGATGCTCGAGGGTCTTGTTCATATTCGTGAGAAGGGCTCATATGCCCGTCAACAATCTCACGCTCCTCGTAGTTGTGGTAATGCTTGACGATGGGCTTGGTGTCGCTACAAGAGGTTTGAGTGGTATATTGAGTGTAGCTGGAGAGGCTGGAATGGCTGGACAGGTCGCTGCGGGTCGAGGTGGAGCTCATAGAGGTAGCAGATCCTTTCGACCAAGTCCGAGCTTGGATACGTCGGGCCATAGTGTTGAAAAGATGTGGTATGCTCGAAAGATGTTGTGAAGTTTGACGGCGGTGATGATCTGTAAGGGAATGGGAGAGCAAATTCTAGTCCTTGATGATAAAGAGAAATGTCTGAAGGGGTGTAGAGTAATGAAGCCACGGCATAAAGAAAGACTCAAGATAGCGAAGTCGACGGCATATCAAAAAGAAGCGAGACGGTTACGCTCATTGGTGACGAGAATCAAAAGCAAACAGACTTCAGTGACCAAGTCACTCCACAGGGCGACAAGGGCGATGTCAACCTCCTCTAGCCATCTTGCACGAGGAAGGACAGGCGCAGGTGATGGCGCGGCAGCAGTCGTACATACTCTATGGGGGATTCGTGAGGACGGAGAGGAGAACAAGCCAGCAGAGCAAGATGACGGGTGTGGCCGGGACCTGCCGTAGGTTACCAGTTTTCTTGCGGCATCACTTTACATCCGGATCTTGCTGAGATGTGAATCTTCAGCTGAGGTATCTTAGTGATCCTGCTTAGCGAACAGCCTCCATCGACTGTGCAAGTATGGGGGTAACAGTGGCCCGGACAAGACCCATCCAGGGTCGCGCCAACATGGCTGTCCGTGGCGTGGGAGGCAAACGGCAGGCCGAAGGCGGATAAAAACAGTGCAATGCCAATGGTGGCGAGAACGTTGTTCAACGGAAAACAGGGCCACGGCCACCACGGGCATGTTGAAGGATGGTTGGATGAACACTGGTTCTCGTGGTGGAGATGGCAAAAAATGGACACCCATGTGGACCGCGACAGACAGCGGAAAATATCGAGCATATTGGTTGTCAGACGAGGGCAGTGAATATTGCCATGTGACCAGATGACGGGGATTTCCCCGTGCAAATGGGATCTGCAATTACTGTCAGACCGATGGCTTCGTGGTGTCAAACAGGTGACGGCGCGGGCTGCGCAAAGTCGAGGACCACGTCAAACAGAAAAAGTGAAAAATCCGATGGTCGGGTCTGGCGGGACAGGGCCGAAGCGGCTAGATTGTATTGGGATTAGCGGAATGCCTTAATTCAACCTGTGCCGAAGCTCTTACAAACTCCTGGCTCCTTTGTTAGTCTGCGGCAACATGTGGCACCACTTCATTGGTACTGAGTCTGGCCATGTCACCTGTTGGCCGTTTCGATACGTTGCTTTGGTCTTGGCTGGTCTGCAATGCCCGTGCCTTTTCTGGACTGCCCTCGGAGCTCAACGAGTAACCATGAACATGTGTTCCCTGCCGGATGCTGTACCTTGCGCCTCTGTATCACCAAAAGAAATGCCTTGGGTTCGTTTCCAGTGCTGCAGGTGAAGTGTCTCCATATTTTTGTCCTGCCGATAATAATACCATCATTTGGGCAGCCATTGTTTCGCTTCATTTTCAAGCACTGGGTCGGTCACCATGCATCTTGGAACATTAGAGCTCTAACAAGAAGCTCTCCTCAGCCCTCCATTGCGAGCACGTGCGGTTAT